TATAGTCTTTTTACCTCCTGCAATAACCGATCGACTTTAGTGCGGCACCACGATAACGATACGTCGGCGATGCTCTACAAAATGGCGAAAAGTAGACGGTGGCGAAAAAGCAACAAAGGTCAGTCGGATGAAGTCTAAAAGACGATAAGCATCTATAGTCAGTTGATTAACACCAATTGCCATTTGGCAATAATACGTACTTTAAATGGCAGTTACCATTTTTATAGGGGTGATTATTGAACGTGCAGAAACATGTTAAGATAACCAGAGCAAGCGCACAAGCCTCTGCAGCATAACAAAAGCAAAAAGTAACGAGAAAAATCACCATGCGAACTACTAAATTTTCTAGAAAAGATGGAGTCCCCATCCCAGACAAAACTAAAAAATGGGGGAAGAGTCGTTGACAACGGCGACTGAAACAAAGTTAGCACACAACAGAAAAATGCAAACCATCGAGCAAGGACCTCCTTCGACGACGACGATCGCGTCAGAAGTCTTTAAGAGCACTGAAAATGAGTCGGTGGGGGACTCCGTCAGTGTTGAGTCCACAACGAACGAAGCGGAAGCAACACGACGAAACCTTACCAAACAGAAAAGGCTCCACTTTTTTGCATCTGCACGTTGCACGTTTTTTTTTTTTTTTTTTCGCAGCGTTGGTGGCAACTAAAAGCAAAACAGAGTAAAGGAATAACGTAGTACAACTCACACTGCCCGGTAAGTAGCACGCTGCGATCTGCTACGTACTAGCAGTGTGTGACATTTTTTTTCTTTCGCCATTTCGTTTCCCAGCAACTTTGGCAGGTTGTTTGTTTGCTCGCTTCACGAAGCAGTTCAAAAGTATATTCAAGTACTTGTTAAGATACGTGTCCACGCAATCCTTGCACACCGTGCATCTGTTTCTAGTGTCGATCGGCGGCCTAAAGTACATTTTCAGCTGAACTCTTGTTTATTGCAATATATCAGTGAAATGAGTGTTGAAGGCACGGCTGATGTTGCTGGCTAGGTGACGAGGTAAGTCGTAAGGTGATGTCATTTTCGCATGCGAGTATTTTTCGTTCTTCAATAGAATGTCTTTCGAGGTGTTCCATGTTTCTGATTGCAGTTGGATTTAGCAAGCATGATGACAGATTTGACTTGCTGCCCACTCGGCTACATAGGACTGAGTTTTCTGTTGAGCATCTGGTGAGTCGTCCGGGAAGTTTTCCGCCATCTCCGTGGAGCGGTCATAATTATTCGTTGAGGCGTCAGCGTCTATTTTGAAGCCAGACTTAGATAGCGCTTCCAGTTTAATTTGAAGTAACTTAATTATGCACGTTTGTTTGGTCTATGGGAAGCGAGTGAAGGATTTTCCACCACATCGCAAAAACGTGTTTTTGCAGTGGTAGGTAGCACATGGCATGCCTGCCATCTCCAAGTATGCGCCGGTCTATACGCGAAGGCGGCCGTATGATCTGCAAACGATGACCCATGGCACACTTGACCGCGTACTCAAATAAAATCCGAAAGGTATAACGAGAAATGTATAACGAGCAGAAATGTATAACGAGCTTAAACGTTTTAATATATTTATGAGTATCAATAAAGCACATATGAAGATTTCGGATTAGAAACACAATCGAAGGCGAAAATAAGGGGTTAGCGCAGACGACCGTGGAGCAAAGCAGTAACAACAAAGTTGCACACTGCCCTCCAGATATCCAGGTATAGAGTAGCAGACAAACCGGCGGGAGTAGCGAAGGAAAGAAAATTAAGACTAAGCCGATCAAGTCAAAGTAAAATACGCGATGGTTTGAAGGTCAAGTAAACAAAAGAAAGAAAAAAAGCACAAACAACAACATCAAAACAGGAGGAAGCAAGAACGCGGCGGCGTAGCGTCGCTTCAAACATAAAAAGAAAGTCGACTGAAAAATGGAAGGAGTTCCAGGACCGTACAACGGGTGCCGGCCTTTATCGTTGAAGTCGCGGAAGACGTTAGTCATCCCGCCGATAATAATCGCAATTTGTGCACCATACATAACGTGACCGAAACTACCATTATTCGCGCCACGACGCTCTCATCTTTGTTTTTTTGTTGTTTTTTTTTTTTGCACGCGCAAGAAACCCGCTTTATTTGTAGGTCCGCTTTTATTAGTTTCAGTATTAGCGTCAGATTTACATGTGCATAATCGACTTCTTCCATATCATATTGACATCACAGTAACGTACGTGGTTCGAAATTGCCTTTTGTTTCTTCTTCCGGAGGCGATCTTGACGAGATTAGCCAGCTCGCCTATTCTACAAAACGGTTTTAAGCAATACATTCATGAGTAATGGGAATTACAACAACACCAATTGATCGATAAGAACAGTAAAGTTGAAACGTAGCCATGTTCTGAAAAAAATGTACATTGCCCTTTTTCAAGTAAGAAGACGAAAGTACTTTCGTCTTTTGCCTGGCTTACAAAAGTTCTAACAGAGTGTTTTCTTGAGGAGAGCCTTAAAATTGAACCCTGAAAGCTGTTACATGTTTCCCACGCGAAGAAAATGTCCTTTACGCAAGAGGTGGGACCTACTTTTTTAACATTCAAAGCAGCAAATACCCGTGAATTTTTTTTTTATTTCGTCGCTTCGCGCGGAGATAGGCAAAACGAAAGCGTTGAGGATAATTCGTCTGCTTGCGAAACTCCGAGCTCGCCCAAGGCGCTGCGATCACTTTTCCACCGCGCTCTGCGCGAGTTGCCGGTGCTAGCTTGCATGGTATTTGCTATAATTTAGGCTAATCAGTGAGCACAGACAATAACAGGGCCGCCACATGGTATTCATTACCCCTCCCGTCACGCACAAAGTAGGCTCTGAACTTTTGGCACACTAAATCAGACCCTAAAGCGCTAGCACCCGTATATGTGACTTTTTGTGTCGCATACTCTTATTACATTCGATACATGATGTTCTTTGTTTGGATGCTTCTAACATCTGGCCTAGCGGTGCTGAAACGCAGAAGCTCTGTGTAACATTTCAACCATCCAACATTTCGTTATGAAGTTCATATATTGTATAGACTGAGTGACCTATAAAAACACTGACAGGAAGCATTCGGGTCCTACGAGATATATTTACTGCCCGCGATTGAAGTATAAAGGTTGAAACCTGACTTTTGCTAGCACACTGCACCTGTGAGCGCGACTTTAAAAAAGAGTTTTAGTACACCGCAAACTGCGAATCGCGGTTCTAGCGTACGGGAAAAGCAGCCATGCTTCAAGATGACGGCATGTGCTCGTGCTAGCAACGCGAAGCTCTAGCGTACGGTCTATTAAAAGTCCCTTTCTACGCAGTGCGCATCGTATTTTGAATAAAATAATGCTCTATATCTATATTTATTTAGTAATTTAGAAACATGTGATTGACCAAATGGCTGGCGCATGCAATAACCGCATCAACGCTATTTAGACTTTGATACTTTGATATATTGCCCTGTGGTACCTGGGCCTCTGTGGGTTTGTGCTTTTCTTAAATGTTCCGGAAACAGACAAGCTGTCTTTGAAAAGCGCAATAGAAACACGCGGAATGGAGGGGGGAACGAAAGGGGCAGGGATGGGGAGGGGGGGGGGGGGGGGGGGGGGCTGACTGGCGCTGCCTCAGGATAATTTCTCGGAAGCTCGCTGGAGTGTTCGCTTTCTATCCAGATCTAGTGGCCCATTCTGCCGCAACGACCCTTGTCGCTAGTTTTGCGCTACCACAATGAAGGCTACAGCTGCACCCGGCTGGCGACACTTGGGTTTGCTCGTGCTTTTTACCGGAACTTCTACGATCAACCACCAAGATCGCGACACCAGACAGCATGATAATTCGGCTTTTGTGGCGTCAGTTTTTGCTATTTGAGGATCACTTTCGAGTCTCGACTCATGGGCGAAAGATGACGCTAATCACACCAGTCGGAGACGAGTTCAAGGCACCTGCAGTTGCGGTGCACCCAAGACCCATTTTGAAACACTTGCTCTTTGTACAGATTGCTTGCACGTGACGTCATCGTCCCTTCCTGGTAGTCATTCTAGGCAATTCCTTCTTGATTTTGCCGAGAAAGACTAATTAGGCGGTGAGATATGTATGCCGCAGAAGGCTCCCGCTCAGAAGGGATGCCACAAGAATGGCTGTTGATATGATGTCGAGGAAGTTGGAAAGCCAACAAGGCTCCCGCCGTACGTACCAGCTCTGAAGATGGCACCGAGATCAGAAGCCTTTTTATACCAACGACCGCTACTCGTGCATGATTTGGCGTTAACCGTTACAGTCTCGCATCAAAAGGCGCTGCACTAATTGAAGCGAAGTTTAAACCGAAGTTCGCTTTTTAAAATCCACGGTAACATTCCGACTTGTATTCGTCCGCACCTAACTCATTACGACAAACAAACGATGAACGCCGCCGAAGCCGATAGGATAAGCCGCTGAAAACCCGGCTGCATTACCAACGCCTAGCATCATCAGCAAAAAGTGTTCGAACGTCGTTCTACTTTCGGAGCCTGCCAGAAATCACAGCCAGTCTGGATGGCTCGTGCCCTGTGCCGGCCGTTGACCCCCGCGTTTAGGGGCGGATGCCGGACGAACAAAATCTAGCTGAACTGGATCGGCGGCGAACAGCCTGTAGCTCAAGGTGATTAGCCGAATATTGGCTAATTCAGCCTAACAATTGTTTGATTGCCTTTTGTTATGTTAAATGTTAAATCGAAGCACAGCGAAAGACACGACCCGTGTATTAAAAAATTACTATATGGCAGAGCCTCATTCGTTCCGAATGAATGTCAGCCGGAAGAAGCTACAGCCATTACAGGGGCAGCATTTCGACTGCCACACGTTAACATGGAGATTTACCCATTAAACTTACGAAGGCACTCTGGAATTACTGAGGCTAGTTTTGCAGGAAAATAACAAAGTTTGCATTTATTGGCGCAAGTTTTCTGTTGAAAATAATATTCATGATACGAGCCTTTAGTTAAAAGCAGCGCGATTTTCTTTTACTAAGTTTATTAACGAACATTGTTAGCAAATTCTCCGGGGATATTTCCTTGAGGCCAATAGTTGCAGACAACATACGTCGTCCTTGTATAAAGTGAGCGGGCATAACCACATCCAAGATATATTGTTGCTTTCCACACCATCTGTGTGAAATGGGATGTTTTTGAGTTGTACCGTGGGTCGTTATAATTATAGTGATATATTTCCTTGTACCAGAGCGAAGTAACTTCTTTTTCTGAAAAGAACGAAGTAGGAAATATGTCCTTAAGGTGTTGCCGTCATGCAGCTTTTCGGGACTTTGAGGTACTACTTATGCAACTAATATCTGCTGCAACCTGTTTAGTTAGCACAGTATATTGGTACTGTTAAGTGCTATACAACAAGTATTTATGTGTTATGATTTTTCAAGGTATAAATTAGGAAAAGGGAAAAAGCTAGGAGTCGGTCTAGCTATTAAATTAAGACGAAATTTGTAAGCCTAAACCATGTTCATATTAAAAATAGCTCAGAAAGATGGGGAAAAAAAGAAGCAACAGGACAAGCGTATTTTTGTCCTGACTTTATTGCGCAATTTTTATATGAATGTCAATTGCCAACTTGCCCAGCATACCAAGCCTTAACCACGAACGAGTCAATTAAAGTTGTGAACACACACATACATTCGTAGAGCTTTGCTAATTGAAAATATGATGTTGGTGTTAGTTATAATATTGAACACGAACAAAAATCAACGAAGTTCCTACGAGAAGGCACACAAGCTAGACAATCGCCACAAAGACGCATTAAGTCCACGCATAGACATTTTACATATCTTTCTTCTATTTTAATTACAAATGTTTATGCATGCTTTCGTGTCAATGCGCTAGCCATTTTTGCAAAAGCAGTGTCCTCTAAAGAAACTGGCTTGTACAGTGAGACTAGCGTTATTGCTGTTAAAGAAATCCGAGAACAGTTTATTTGATGGCTCATTGAATGACTTGATTTTAAGCTTAGGTGATAGCTCAACACACTGAGAGTGCCGTCCTAAAGCAATACATTATTTTAGCTAGCTGGCATGTACTTCCTACATTCGGAGTTTATGCGACGTATCATCAAAGCAAAATTACGTATTATTTCTCCTTCAAAATTCTCGCCTCATTGTAGAAATACGGTGCTCCATGCTGCATAATGAAAATTCTCCATGATTGAAATAATAAGGGGGGTTAGTTGGTTTAACATATTGAATTCAAAGGCGCAAAGGGCGGACCCGGACATGAAGTAGACAGGAATAGCTCTGTCCTGTCTACTTCATGTCCGTGTCTTTCCTTTGCGCTTTTTAATTCAACATGCTCCATGATCCTGCGTTTTTTTATGGGCGTAAATGGTTCAGGCGCTTGTAGCAGAAGCACAAAGATGACGTGGGCCGTGACGATGCACCTTTTGCGCTGCTTTATTCGCTAAATCGTATTGTAGTGTCGGCCTCGCTTTGACGTAGTATGATATACAGGAGACATTGGATATCTGTCACACCAGATATTTTAGTCAAGTTAGTTTGACGTATATCAGGGATAAACAAATAAAATGTATTAAGTCTACAACATCTAATAATTTATCACCTCTAGTTAAACAAACAAAGCAACAAAGTTGCAGGTGAGGGCAAAAATAGCTAGAACACGATCCTTTTGTAATTCTGATATTAAAAGCAGACGTTTTCTTAAAACGCTTAGTTTCTTTACCAAACGGTCCGCTGCAAGTTTACGACGCATTTTATGAGCTTAGGTAAAAGAAAAATATTGAACATATCGTGACATATGAAACCTGCAGCAAAAGGAAGTGCTATATTACTGACCTGACGGTATAAAATTGGGGTTAGTCAGTGTCATCCAGTAGATATTTTCGCCCATTCTATTGTAAGGGTCCGGTTGAGGTGGTCGATGTTCAATAACATCATATTGGGCAAGCCTTTCCGCCCACTGCTGTGCCCATCCTTCTAACTGCGTTAAAAGGAAAGAGTATTGAATAATGTACTTAAATGTGTTTCGAAGCAGCTGAGGTTCTCATATATTGACCCTGTTTTCGCCAGTGCGATAAGCACGTTTATTCACTTGTTACTATCTTGGACATTACAACACTCTAAGAAATCTGAAGCGTTTACTTTCGCAGATAGCTGTCGGGAGAGCTAATCGCTTCAATAAGCGGAGAGAGCTCGGTGACTGACGCCTCTCAAAATACATCAAAGCAGAAATACATCTGTCTGCATTCTGGCTCTGGGTATTGTGAAACTTAGTGCTCATATTGCCAGACTGCAGGCAGCTTTAGTTAGGTCTAAACATTCGCTGAGCTGCATCCGCAGGTTGAAGCGACTGACTCTTCCAAGCGCTTTGTGGGAAAGAAGCCACTCTAGTATTTTAGGATGAAGATTAAAGCCGATTTAATTTCTGCCTGAAACTCGTAAGTCATCTGCTGAATTATTTATCGCGACAATGAGTTTTATTTGCTGCTTTCGGTGACACCTTCGTTTCTAAATATATTCACACATGTGCGGTGCATTAGTGAATCACGGCATTTGAAGGTGCGAGCTCAGCGAATATTATCTTAGTAAAATACTCTGCCGTGTAGAGAAGTTTCGTGGATAGTGTTGAGTATGACGTTTCATGAGTTCTAGGCCATCTAATTGTTGTAGAATACGCGCTATTTTTAAAAGCAGTTTTTTTTTACACATAATTGGCTAAAAATGATCAGACAGCAGGCGAGCTGGTGTAAGTTGAACATGTTGGTAAAGCTCAGACTGGGCTAGGAAGAAGAAAACACAAAGGAAGGCAGAAATAAAAGCAGGCAAGGTGTCAACAAGTTACAAAGTTTATTTTGTAACGCCTTAAATACCACACCACCAACGCCGTCACTACAGGCACCCGAAGCAAAAAACCCGGCGAAAAATGGAGAAAATAAAACAAAAGGTTTGTTTGTTTGTTTGTTTATTCAGATTTTATAGTCTCCGATAACAGGGCAAAAGGCAGATATGCTCTGCCTTACGTGGCCCTGTTACCGGTTGAGAATGTTCAGCAGAGCACGAAAAAAAAAAACACTAATGACAAACATTCAAGATTAAATAAGAAAAAATGGTATATGATTTGTATACAGTAGTTACAGCATAGTTGAGATAGTTGAATATATTGCATAAAGAAGGGACTTAAGAATAATAGAATTATAACTGGCGTACAAATAGCGGTAAAATTTATTACACATATATCAGAAATATTTTGTTCATTGCACACAATGAAACGTACTTTTCGATAAAATGTTTATACATTTGGTTAGTTAATAGATCCATAGTTTCAAATAGTTTCTTCAATGTTTGGATGTTTGTTTAGTATATCTGGTAATAATAATACAATCATTGTTCACCGTAAATTGTTCCTCAGCAGAGGTGTTCTATATGTGTCTTGTCGGAGATTGTTTGAAGTGTTTGCAGAAAGTCATGGGTCAAAAAATGCAGATTCGTCTCTTTTTATCAAAATAAGGATATAGACTGAGCGTTCTAGCTGAAAAATCTGCACTATGTCAAGCAAATTCTGTTTAAAATATTAAGGGGCTGGGTATGAGTATGAGCCATTCGCTGAAGGCTTTCCATGCAACGTACTTCCCTTTTTCTTCCCTATCTTTGGATACGAAAGATTTACCAAAAGGGTCACAGTTCAGCACAAACACCACCTTGCCATTCGCAAACGCAAGGGGTTCACAACTGAACAAAACAAAACGAACTTAACTTCCGAGAAAGAACTAAACAAATACTGAAACTGCCTTTCTCTCACAAACCACAGAGTTCAAAGATACACATATACAGTGCTTACACTTTGGAACTGCCTACCCGGATCCGCAATATTGTAACTACCTACAACATTCCTTACAAAAAAAAAATTGAAACATCTTACAAGCGCAGGAATTGTTTACACTCGTTGTCAAACTGCAGACGTTGCATGATTTTTTCTTCTTCCTTTGCGTTTTCCTTTTCCTACCCAAGTCACAGGTTAACCATCAAGTTTATAAGTAGTTGATTATTTCGCCTAGAGTGCACTAATGGACCAGATCTGTACATCTTAGAGACCTACATGTCCGGTAATCTTTTAAGGTGGTCTACTTAAATATATCTTAGGAAGTAAATTTTCATTTACAAATAATCTGCTTCACAAGGATATTGGTTTGGTTGTAATTATAAAGAAACATGCATTATTATATGACGTACCAGTTGATATATCAAGTTCTGACCTGAACAGATAGTGAACGATTGCAAACCACGAATGAAATAATATAAACATATTTACGTTGTAATTATATCGGAGATGTGACGTCCCGCGTTGCCCTCTATAGTAGTTGTGCCATTCCAGCATGTATCTCCGGAACTCAGGGTCAACCTGAAAAAGCGTTCCGAGCTTCAATCTTGATTTTTTTTTATTGCGCGGTATGGGCTGATGACATTGTAATCCTAAATATATAGAGCAGCTTACAGGATCTAAACCCCGTCCAATCTTGAGAAAAATGCAAGATCTACTTTCTGAAATCTAAACAAGACCGTTTGATTTATATCTTATTTTTATAACGTGTATTGAGTTTAATTTATTTCGACAAATTGCGTGCAACGAAACAGGTCGAATTACTATAATATGGTCTAGATTACCCGAACGAAATACTGCCTTTGAATAATAATGTCCACCCGCCCCCCCCCCCCCCTCCTCCAAAAAAAAAAAAATTTGCAAAATTGATTTAGGGATTTTTGAAAGTTGAGTCTGAGCCCGAATGTAGCGCTAGCGGTCCGGACCAGACGTCACATTTTCAGAGCTAGCAATTTTTTAATTAAAAATTTCCAACATGGGAAGTTAAAATCCGGTTTCGGTAGTTGCCGCCATTTATTTCCCTGTGTTTGTGGTTTTGTTGACCATTATTTTACAAATTCAAAATTTATGAATATATCTTGCAATATTTTAATAAGATAAAGGTTTGTCTGAAAGCTTTGGCATCTAGTCCGGACCGCTAGAGCTACACCTTGGCGGGAAGCGACCGTCTGGCGATGCATAGTTTAATTTTAAGGTGACACCAACACTGTACTTTTTGTTTTTTCGGTGGCAGCCGGTATTTTCTGGGTGATGCTATTTAATGACGAGACTGATGGCAAAAGTGTAGATTATTGTTTTCAATTATGTGACTTAATAGTTAAACCTTCAACATACTTGCATACAGATCATTTATTGGTGAAGCAGTGCTGCACGTCCCCATCTGATATCCCTTTAAGCAAACCCATGTGTTCCCCTTTCCTTGTTTGACAGTTCTGCTCATTGCCTTTTTCATTTTCTCTGACGGGGAAATTTGTATGTGCACCTATGTCTGGTTACATCTCGTGAGGTTTTCCAACGAATCAGGTTCAGTTCCGTGTTGTTCCATCAAGTCAGTGCAAATTTGTTTACGTGTGCTTTTTTCCTCTGGCTAAGGGTTTTGGGCACCATATATTGGCGCAGACTTTGCGAATGATTACTTGGTTCTGCAAAACTTATCATATAGTATTTTTGATCAATGTGAACCAGGTCTAAAATCATTCGATTATTTAACCGTTGACCGTTGCTAACAATTTTTCTACGGAATTTTTCGGCACTGGTACAAAACGCTGCATAAGATGTCGTCACATGCTGTCACACCTTGCACCGTCTTCTGACCGCCAAAAGAGTGCTTTGCTGTTTGATGACTGTTTTTGTTTATGACTGTTGTATGAAGGGCTGTCCAAACCGGAAAAGTTTTGCACAGTTACCGCATCAGCGGTACCGGAGGTGGAGGTTTGTCTTCGGTTACTGTCCGCTTTAGCAATTTTAGTTTTACCGAATTGGGGGGGGGGGGGGAGGGGGCGAGGGGGGGAGAGGGTAGGGGAGGGGGTAATTTCTTTATAGAGGCGTTCTTATAGAACGGCTCAGAGTGTGTTCATCACGTGGGTCATGACAGCCACCCACACACTCTGCTGGCTGTCGCCAAGGGCTCCGCTGTGATCAATCCCTAATCTCCGGACCACGCAGTGCGTGGTTCACGAGCCACGGTTCAGAAGAAGAGTCGGTCAGCGTCTGTTCATGTGCGGTAAAACGTTACAGAAAATTTGCGAAATAAAGATGCAGTCATTTCAACTATTATTTCCTCATTATTTTTTTCTTTCGATGGTCCCCAGCCAAATGGCTCGCAAATTCGTACTTGGGGTGGTATTTTATAGGTATTGAAACCGTGGGTAGCAATCACGACGGTAGCACAATTCACAATACAGCGTTGCCTCTTTTACCGGTATCAAAACCTTCATACATTGTCAACATGCGCAAACGAACATATCATGCCAAATGAAGCAACATAGTTGACGTAGGACGTTAGGCTTAGGGCAATCATGGTACAAAAACAAGCATCTGCACAGCGCTTCTGAAGGCACGTACTGGCGATAGTTGTTTGTTGAAAACTAAGTCGGTTTAAATCTTCATCTAAACACACCGGTGGACGCAAAATGACTCGTACTCATAAAAATAGATGAGCTCGACGATCTGCTCTCGTTGAGCAGCTCGCGGACGCCGGCAGTCATATTTCTTATCGTTTCGTTCCAATGGAGAAACACCAATCTTGGGATAATTATGAAAACAATAATATCTGTATGTACAACATTTGTTTTTTAAGCATAAAGAAGTATCGATTGAAATACTACTACTGCACGCAGATACAATTTCACAACGGACAACGTAAATAATACCTTTTTTTAAATTATTTTTCGCGCTACCTTTTTTAAAACAATACGCGTCCCGTTTAGGCTTGTTAAAAATATGTATTTTGTTTTGTTTCAGTGTTTCTTTGAGACGCATCAACGACCACCTTGTAAACAAAAATAAACCCATGACTTACACACCGAAATTACGGTAACTTTCGCCACGTTTTGCTCAGTCTCGATCGGAAAGACGCGTGAACGCTCACTCGCAATATTGTTGCGGGATGACTCAAAGCGGAACAACGCTCGCTAGAAAAACCCATCGTACGTCACGAGACGTCGATTTTCCAATAATCTGGAAACCAGGAGGCAATCGATTCACTTAAACACTTTCACTTCACTGAGGATTAAAATTGAAGGGTAACAACCGTGGACGAAGTAAATAAGAAAACGGTGGCACTGCTACATTTTTGCACCCGTGACCACCGCATGTCCCTTTAGACCTGTGTGTTACTTGGAAACGAGCCACTACTTGCACCAACACAGGTTATTAAGTTTCTAAAAAGTATTGATATTTCACGCAAATTGTAGCCTTATTCATTATGTAAGGTCCTGCCATATGTTATACAATTTCATGTTCATAAATTCATAAATTACCAGCTACTAAAGCTCTCGCTTCTCCTAAATCCTCTTACGCAGTAGTTTCATTTCTTGGCGCATCATAGCCTTAGTGTCTTTTGCGGCATAGAACCTCAATCTACTACTACTACTACGTGGAGCACCGTTTAGAGAAATACAAATCATCTGAAGCCATGTGTAGATAGGGGTGGGAGTGTTGAGGGGAAGAACCGATGAGTCTTAAAACTGCAATATATATCTGTTTATTTATTTATTTACACATGCTGTGACCTGTATGAGGTCGTTGCAGGACTGGTATAAATAGAAAACAAAAATTACAGACTAATGATACAATATGCCCTTAAACATAACAAAAATGAAAAATGATTATGTCATGTATTAGTGAAAAGACATCGGCAGAGTAACAGGCACTTTTGTCGCCATAATAGTTACTGAATCCCCTCGTGTAGTGTTTCGATCACTCAGTAGGCGGATTTCGTAGTGCATAATAACTTCTCTTATCAAAGCTGTAAAAAGTGCGGAAATACTTCGTTAAAAGCGTCTTAAAATGAGCTGGGTGTTTTCCACAGGAATGCAACCCACCTTTTGGTGCCTCTGCGTCTTTGCCTGGTATATTGCTGTGTTAAAAAAAAAAAAAAAAAAAAAAATGAAAGACGTTTACAATTTTCTGTAACACCGCATTAGAGCGCAGCTCTTGATGAGGAGGAAGGGACGGTACGGAGGGGGGTATGCCCTTCCTCCCCCTCCGTGCCCTTCCCTCCTCCTCTCCCGCTCCGCTTCAATTTACCGGGAAATTTTCGCAAAATTTCCCGCTAAATGTGATTTAAAGTTTCCCGCTGAGCTTAGCCGGAAAAGTTTCCACTATATTTAGCGGGAAATTTAGCGAAACTTCTCCTGTAAACGTGAACGGGAAATTTTAGCAAACTTTCTCTCTAAATTTAGTGGGAACATTTGTACAAAATTTTCCGCTATTATTAGCGGAAAATGTTTCCCGCTATATTACGTGGGAGAATTTTCCCACTAAATTTACCGGGAAAACTTCACCACTATATTTAGAAATTTACCCCCTAAATTTAGCGGGGTAATTTTTGCATAATGCAACGCGCGATTACTCCCGGTTGCATTAATACCATAATGCAACGAGTGCGGTTATGCAGACGCCGACGGCGAGGGCGACTCCGCAAAACCGTAAAATGAGCGCCTAAGAGCTGCGCTCTAAAAACAAGAAAATGTATGACTGAAGTAATTTTGCCTTGGTATAGATAAAGAGTAATATTTCTAAGTTTTCTGTAATAAATTTCGAAATGGCAGGGTACCGGAACCTTTTGCGGGTCATTAAAATTCCAGCTTAAAACTTGGAGACATTAGCTTATGCGCCATTGCACATGCTTTCTTTGAACTTCAGTTACGACTTCCAATGTTTGTTTTTTTGCAAATTTCGTTTACAATTAATGGGGATCATTCGACGTATTGAACGTTCACCAAAAACATTTGACCTCACTTAAAAATTGGTGTGACGTTGAGACTTCAAACTCGCATTTGCTCTCTGGGACAATACTATAGAGCACAACAGATGTCTCCAACTGTGATATAGGATGCGTTTCATGAACGACCCGTAGCGTCCTCAGAACGTGAGCCAAAATGGAGCGCAAGTTTGTCAACTTCTTTTGCTGGGGCTCTGGCGACGTCGGAACGCCGAGTTCTGATTGGATTCGATTAAAGGATAATTGTTAGACCTCAAAGCGAGCTGCTTTGAGGTCTACTCACTATCGTTCAATCAGAACCAATCAGAGCTCGACGATCTGACGCCACCACAACCCCTGCAAATAAGCAGACGTGTTCGCGCTCTCCATTGATTTCGTTTTTATTCTAATAGTAAACAAACGCATATTTTCTTTCTCTAAAACTTGAATGGCGAGTGTTGAGATGACGACAGAAAGAACGACACTCTGAAACCCGCTGTCGCTGTGCGAATGTCCCAGGACGCCGTAGTGTAGACGCACTGTTCGTAAATCATTCTCTTGGTGAGATTTTACTTGCAATACTCATTATCAAACTCAGTTCTGCCCTACGTTTAGATAAAGTGAAAGCTTTACCTGTCTTGCGCGTACAAATAACCTAAGTAGTATGAGCACATCATGATGGACAATATTCGCAGCGACGCCCGTTCACACATATAGGCTTAAAAAGAGGATATTGTTATCTATATGTGCTGAACCGTAGCCTCCTATATAGTGACAAAGCGTGGCAGATCGCCACGAGAAGCGGCCGCCGAAAGGGAAGAGGGGCTTGATAGCCGTGTGGTACAACTTATTAAAATAGTTAATGTGCGTTTTACTGAACACGAAAAAAGTAATCCGGGTATTCTTGGCCCTACTTTAAAGCTCGGTGTTTTCTTTATGTGGTCTTTGATACGTACTTTAGCTATTTAAAATGTTGTACCACACGGCTATCAAGCCCTTCGTAAAGTTTCGACCCAATGCTCGACTGTACGGCACTGCATGTTGAATTGAAATTCCGGGGTGTATTATGTGGGACAAAGGGCGTAAGAATACACCTTTTGACACCCTTTTTTCTTGAGAGTGTAGGAAAGCGCTAACATAATTCCGTAGTAGTGCGATGATGGCGATGGTCTTGTTTAAAAGGAGGCTACGGAGCTTCTTGGGAAAAAAATGAGTTCGAAGTGAATTCTAGTGTATTTTTACCCCGTAAACTCGAATACCCAAACCGTTTGCTGTTCAAGTATTGTTAAAAGCGAGAAAACGCGAAAGACAGTCGCTGTACGTGACGTCATCAATGGATCTTTTTGGCTGCCCAATGCTAGGGAGGCGGGGCTTCAACCCTATTTTGAAACTGCTCTTATGGCTCTCCGGCGCGTCGCATTGAAACATAATTGTGATATCTGTTATCCTAAAGGCCAAGTGAACTCAATTCAAGTGTTTTTTTCTCAAATGCAGAAGTGCCCCATCTTCCCTTTAAACGTTTTGTCGGCCTACCAGTCGGAGGATGGTAGGCTGTGGTTCGTCGGTGGTTGTTGTGGCTGAGACGGATGATCTATTTCATCAGCTGTGCCATGAACGATGACCTGCGATCTGAAATCAGAGCTTTAGGAGCGCCGGGCCGGAGGACGATGGACCCAAAGAAAAACTTTTAAACTTCTACAGCAGTCACTAAAGGAAGCGCTCTTGCTTGGGCGTGCCGCTTGAGATAATCTGTAGCGACGATTATCCAACGGTTTCCCGACGTTGGCGGAGGAAAAAAAAACAAGTAAATTCATTGCAATCTGCTGGAACGGCGTGCAAGGGGGAGCGATCGGAAGCAGAAGCGCTGACGGCTTCGTCGTTTGTTTCTTGAGTCGCTGAAACTTATGGCATTATCAAGTGTAAAGGTGAAAGGTCTTCAAGAGCCTCGGCCAGTAGTACCTTTCACGAATCCTGACGAGCGTCCTGCACTAGCCGTCTGGTCATCACGCAGCCTTGTTCGATTTTGTTTCGAAGACTGGTAGGTATTACCACTAGCGATGATAGGTTGCTGGTCTTAAAGCTATTTTTGAAGAGAACACGCCATTGAATAACTAAGCTTGACAAGTGTCGAGAAAACACGCGCGGGTAGGAACTTCCGTGAACTTCCATGCTCTCAACCAGGGCACAAAGTTCGCAGCCTTAACGTTGAATTCCTGCCATGTCTGCTACTTTGACTGTGGCGAAAAAACCTTCGTCCTCCTCGTCGTCAGTGCTGGCAGGTGGTGACTCGACGGGGCCTCTCGACAGACAGTAGGCGTCACTGTGCTTGCGACCGGATTTGTACGCAAAGGTCTTTTCGACTTCTTACAGTCTGAGGCTCCAGTGGGTGAAGCGTCCAGAAGGATCCTTTAGGGTCTCGAGTCAACAGAGTGAGTGTTGATCCTTGACCACGCGAGATGGAGTTATGATACAAGTACGGGGAAACTTTGTTATCGCCCAGACGACAGCAAGGCATACTTTTTCTGTTTGTTGAGTAGTTTTCCTCCGCCTTCGACTGCGTCTGACTTGTGTAAGTGATCACTTGCTCTGTACCTTCCTGCTGCTGGACCAGTACCGTGCCAAGTCCGTTATTACTTGCGTTCTGTAGATTTCCGTTTCTGTGAACAGGTCAAAATGGCCGATAATCGGTGGTGTCTTGAGTCTCCGCTTGAGTTTGTCGAATGCCCGCTGTTTTTCTTCCCATTGAAACTTCACAGCGCCCTTTGTGAGATGCGTCAGTGGCGTGAAAAGCTCGGCAAAATCTTGAACGAAGCGAAAATAGAAGGCGCTGGGACCCTAGAATCTTCAAACGGCCTTTTTGTCCTACGGCGGTGAAAATGATGCTACGAATGCGACTTCTCGGGGCCAGTTCAAACACCTTCGTTGTTCACAACGTGGCCTAAGAACTTCAGTTCGTCATAGGCAAAATGGCATTTTTTTGGCTTGAGGGTGAGTCCAGCAGTCTTGATCGTTTGTAGTACGGCTCGAAGGCGACTCAGGTGCTCGTGAAACTCTCGTGTAAACACAATGACGTGTTCTAGGTAGACAAGGCAGCTCTGCCATTTCAGACCTGGGCGTTGTATCCTTTCGGAGGATTTCCATGGACAACGGGTTCAGCATTGTCACCCAACCAACTCTGCAACTGCCAGAGAAAGTGTTTGTAGGGGTCCATCGGCCCAGTATTTCCGCCTTAAGCAAAAACGTTGCTCGTTGGCACGAGCCCGTCGGCGCAAGCAAATAAACAGACCATTTAACCTAAGCTCAAAGCCAGTCGCACATTTTTTCTGTCCTCAACATCGAACACTCGACAAATCGAACCTACTGCAATTGATAAGATGTTGAAGAATTTGGAACTTGACCTTTCGGACTGTAGTACTTTGTGCACTTGATACTCAGTCACCATCGCTTCAGTGTAGATATGTGGCAATAATAATTTAATATACATACGTCTCTTTCACAGCCTTCGGCCTGGATTATGAAAAGTGCCCCGATAATAGTGTAAGCTACCAGTAAACATTTATCAATAAATGTCAATTTGTTTTCATCCACCTTGTTGTCTAAACTTGACCAGATTTTGCATTGAGTGTCCCAAAAGATTAATGTAGAGTCCCGATTCTCCCGTTTTTCCATTAAGTATCTAGTTAGTTAACTGAAACGCCTGTATACAAAGTGCCTTTCACCCACTGATAATATGTTTGCATCGACAAGAAACCATCGCGGCATTCTTCAAGCAGCGGCTCCCACGGCGATCAAACCTCATGCTCCGCCTTATCTGAGCCGGTTGCCTTACATGCCTTCTAAGGCGCTAAATATACGACACCAACGACCGATAGCGCCGCGCAGTCCTAATCGTTGCTGCTGACGAGGCTGCCCCAAAAAGTGCAGCGCGCGCTCCAATTGGTCTGCGATGGCTTCCGGCGACGCGCCGCCGTTTCGGCGCGCCATCCAGTTGGCGCGTCATTCTTCGACGGCTCTGCGAAAGGCAAGCATTGTAAGCCGCCTGAGAAAAACGCTGGGAGCCCTCAGGTTTTTGCCGCTTGTCTCTGTGGATGTGGAGCGATCGTTCGCCGACTTTTAGAATTTGGTAACGGAGGAAAGGCAGAGCTTTAAGCAAACAAACAACTGAGATGCAGATGACCATTTCTCTTAACGCACGGGAACAGAACGTCGGTATTAGAATTATAAAAAAGGGAAAATACATATTTCACCGCCAATAAACACTCTGAACATGCTCCCAGAAGCGTACATTGTCCCAGAAAGTGTCCCAATGTTTTGCATTTCCTGTCCCGATTTTGACTCGTTTTCAGCACTATTTTGCGTGTCGGAAATCCCATCTCTAACCATGGCACAACTTTCACGGAGCTTCGATAATTTTTTTTTTTTTTATCGCAATAGTGAAGAAACTTGATTCGGGTTCTACATCCTGGCTCTCACAATGTTTTCGATATGAATCACAGATTCCACTTCTCATGCGGATTGCTTAAAAATAATGCGAATTATCCGTAAGATAGAGTCTTTCGAGAAGGTATTCTGCATGCGCACTCAGTAACACATCAAATTCTTCCAAGGCTTCCGGGAATTATGGCGTGTCTTTTAAACAGCGGCACTGCCATAGCTGTTGTTCATATTTGAGACGGCCGTATCTACTGGAGTGGCGACTTTTACATAAACTTAGGGAAGGTAACTTTTAATAATTATGATGGAGCTTTTTGTAAAATATTTCCTTTCCCCAACCAATGCAGGTTAATCTTAGCCTGTATTGGTTGTTATTATTAGCCGCCAACGCCGAATGGTAGATAGTACTCCAATTTTCTTTTCTGCCTATGTTGATCTGGGGGAGAATTCAACCTGCTTGTGTTCGTGTAATCAATACTGTGTGACGCTGGTTCAAAACCTCGAGGCAAGCAATCACAGTGTACAGCCAAATGTCTCATTTACAGCACAGGCACCAGAGGCCCATTGTGGCTGATCACAACCTTTTCTATACTAACAAGGACTGGTAGTTCGACGACGGACCCATGGAGTGCCCGGTCGCAGATTTAGAGCGCGAGGATCAGGAAGCGCGGAGCATCACAGAACCAGTTCTCGGGGAACCTGGAAGTCAGCGCACAGCTTTTGTAGCGGCGAGGACCCGAAACACACTCGTTCCCTCGGGAGAAGTGTGTTTCGGCGTCTCGCCGCAGCGGGGCGCCAGCCACGTGGCTCTCCTCTCATCCGTTGTCTGCCACTCTACTTTTTCCATTTCGGCGGCCGCTTTTTGTGGCTATTTGCCAGGCTCTGTCAGTATATAGGAGGCTATGGGCTGACTAACTTCCTGCTGTTTAACCATACACATAACACAGTTAATATAAAGTAATTAATAATTTTTTACTTATAAAGGTAACGATCGTAAATAAGAGAGCAGCAGCTGACCTGAGCTGATATTTTAATTTAAATGCACTCAATATTTTGTGACTTAGTGATAACAGAACCTCAAAGTGTATCTCACCTTGGGTGATGACTAAGAAGATGAGTAATGTAACAGTTCCATCCATTTCTTTGTAGTCTTTCAGAGCGCTGAAGTCGATCCATTCGCTGTTTCATTAGATATACGTGAATTTATAAGTTTCGAAAAAAATGAGGACTTCGAAAGCTTTTCAAAATTCAAATGCCATTAATTGCCCTATAAATCTTCACAGGGGGCGCCGAGAGCCCTTTTTATACACATAACAGACCTCATATGTGTGTGGCTGACCTCCTACATGCTCACGTTTGTTACTCGTGAGAGACGTCATACATGCTTACGTGTATGGCTGGCTTCTCTCGCACGTGTGTTCATGCAAGGCGCTCTTCAATGCGGATGATGGAAAGAAGGTAGTCCGGGTGCTTCGAGATGCGTCAGCTTTCACCGCCTTCAGTGTGTGTGGGGCTCAGTATTGCGTTACGCTGAGAACTCTATCCCGAAGCATTTGCAGTTGTTGTACCCGCGGACGCTGGCTTTTAAGGAGTTCAAGTTTGGTTAACGAACTTCCGTGTTGCTACCTTAATTCTCAGAGCCTTGGGCGATATTTGTAAAAGTTGGCTACATGTACCCGCTAAACGTAGTGAGGAAATATTCCTGTTAAATTAAGCGAGAAATTGACCAACATCTTCCCGCTAAAGTTAGCGGAAAATTTAGCGAAAAACTTCCCGCTAAATTTAGAGGGCTAACTGAACTGGAGTTAAGGTCAGGTAGCACCAACTTCCCCACTAAATGTAACGGGGAAAATTTTGCGCCAAATATAGCGGGGAAGTTTTACCGCTAAATCTAGCGGAAAACTTTCCCGCCAATATTAGCGAAAAGTTTTCCCACCAAATTGAGCGGGAAAAGTTTACCCTCGTGACGTAACACGAAACGTCACGTGTGACGTCGTAATGGGAAAGGTCCCATAATGCAACGCGCGGTTACGCCGACGTCGACGCCGATGTCGACGCCGCTCAAACCGGAAACGGGCGCCTAAGAGCTGCTCTCTGGAACGTGAAAGAGTCCGTTTGCTTGTAGTATGCAAGTGAACTCACGCACCTGTGAAGTATGTGTGATAACACGAGATGCTTGGTTAGATCACGTTCACTAAAGACTAATCTGATGCACAGTACAAAAGGTCCGTCCCTAGCAAAGACGTCGCGAGTCCCGAGGCACGTCTGGCAAAGTGAGGAATGGATATTTTTCAAAAGTTCATCGAGCAACCTTGGCTACCGCCATTGCTTGCTCACGAAGCGCGTGATTGAATCCGAGTCCTCGCCGAGCGCTGAGCTTATACTCGGTTCCAATAAGAGCTGATCCGAGTTCACGCCGAACGCTGACGCAATCTTCGTGTCCATTATGTGCTCAGTGTATGTGAGCAAGCAGCGGCGGACAGACGTTGGAGTGGAAATTTAAAAAGGTCCTATTGACTATCCTGCGAACCCGTTATTTTTTTTTATTCTTTACTTCTCAGACTGCTCAGCCCATATCGTGTGATTAGACTTTGTACTTGGTTAGACCACGTGTAATAACAGTCACGGCGCGTTACATTATGGGTAAATTTTCCCGCAAACCCTAGCGGAAAACTTTCCCCGCAACATTTAGCGAAACGAATTCCTCGCTATATTTAGCAAAAAAAAATGCCTCACCAAATTGGTCGGAAAAATTTCACCGCTTTATTTAACGGAAAAAATTTCCCGCTACATTTAGCGGGGAGTATATTGAAATTGGTGGCCGAATTGTACTTCAGATTGACAAGAAAACGTCAAAAAGAGACCTGGTTGTATAATGAAATGACGTTAGAAGGTTAATTTGACGGTTCAATTGTATTTCAGGTTGCCATTTAGGACGTCAAAATGATGCTGGACCATATACTGAAATGGCGATGCAATGTAGAATTGGCGGCTTAATCGTATTTTAGGTTGGCGAATGGGGTGTCAAAATGACAAAAAAACGCAGTAATCTTAAATTGACGGCCTGCCGTCATCTTTTCGGAATGAGCTTTCACATGGAGCTCCCAAAACATTTCCCGTCATTTTAACGCAAACGCTTTTACGGTGGGCTGTTTTCCGCAGTTTGGGTGACAAGGAGTTTTTGACGCTGAATGGCAAGCATTGACAAGATCATTTTACGAAACATATATGGAACGCAGCGAGGAGGGCACGTGCATCAATTCTCCATAAATTGCCTCTATAAAAGCGAGATATAACATCGTAATCTGTGTGAAGTGATTTGTTCAAAACACTGTTTTAGCAGTGTGTTCGTGTTCTCGCAGGTTTTTGTGTGTTCTCAATAAATTCAGTTTTAAGCCGGTGCTCGATGAGTCAGTTTCATTGACTTGGTATAGGTCTCTTTTTTGTGCAGGTTTATTTCGTTACTTGAGGTAGGTTTAAGTGCAATACTTTGCGTTAGTGTTACGAGTACGTAGCTCGTTCGTAACCGTTTAATTGCATTTCCAATGAACTCACTAGATTTGTAGAATCTGGCATGCATATTTATTTCTTAATTGAACTGCAACTCCCAGCGTGCAATATTGCAGGAGCATGGAAACGATACCAATCGACAGATCTACTCAAATATACAGATAAATATATAGCTATTTACACATGCATATAAGAGACGGGTAGTTTTCAGTTTAAAGAAGCGAGTTCACGACCGAAGCTTGGCTGGAGGTCTTTACTACACTCCATGGCAGTTTGCACTCTGTGCATTCCACAGCTCGAATAAATTGTTATGCTGTGCAGTAATTATCACAAATCCCCCCCCCCCCCCCACCAAAAAAGCAGAAAAAAAAACATGGTAGCACTAAGCCAGGCATGGATTTTTCCTTGCAAACAGTAGTGACAAATGATGTAGAATATGTTCTTGAACGGAGTGTGAGATCATTCGCAACCTAGGCATTGGGTGTCCTTTTATGCAACTTGCGTAAAATATTTCGTTCTTGGATCAAAGTAGGGTCTTCTCTAGTCGTACAGACTAACGTCATTGCACCAACTTGTAACCGCAACCTTTTCTTTGAAAAAAATGACACCACTTTCTTTTATTATCCGGTCTTGCGCAATTGCAGATACCTTGCGCACTGCTGGAGATATCTGGCTTTGATTTGGCTTTTTACTTTTATATATACATCTACGTGTTAAATAATTAAGTGGCTGTCATGTTTTCAGCCATTACTTCAACCGAATGATCAGCTCGAAAAATCAGAACCTCGATCTATTAAGTTGGGGGCATTATCATAAAAGAACTTTGAACTGGTTCCTTGGGCTCCCAATACCGCTTAAATTGCGTCTAGCTATTCTTGGCTGTTTCCGTTCTTGAAGATCACTCTTTTGGTCGTATGTTTTCGACGCGCCTCGCCTTTGTGTCAGCAATATTCCAGAGGTCTCGACAGGCCCACAGAGAAGTCCTCGTTGCGCCTGTAAGGTCGTGGTGTCGACGCTGCGAAAAATGCATACAGAACTACCAGAGTGGCTGCGTACAGAAGTTACAAAGTTTCTTTTTTTTTTTGTTGCTTATATTTTTTTTATTTTGATATTTTATGATTTGAGTCCTATCAGACGTTAGTGTTCCGACTTGGTTCGGCTGTCTTTGGAAGTATCATAGTATAAAAGCAGAGAGACAAACACCGATGAAACTTTCCCCCCAAATATAGAGTGGTGCCTCTATACGCATCGTACTTTTTTCACTGCCATCCCACATCGACACTGAAGGCAAAGAGACCAGGTTCCACCATTCCAAGATTTACAAGTCCTCAGCCCAGCGTGCGATCTCCTCAGCCTATTACGCGCATGTTCGTCGCTTCAGAAAAGAAGCCCTTTTTATTAAAGTTCTATATGCGACGCACCTGCGCACCAAAATATTGTGTCATGACACCGACACGAAGGAAAACGAAGGACACTGTACGTGGAGGTTTGTTTCTAGGGTAGCACTACGGGTCGAACAGGTTGTTACTGTTACTCAGGCCTGTACGATACTTGTTAGAAATGATTTGAAGACATTTAATCGATTACCTTTTAAAGTAATTTTGTAATCATTTTAATGCTTTTATTAGGTAATAATCAGTAATCTGATTACTTTTGAAAGTAATACAATTGCTTGTAACCGTCACAATTTTAGCTTCTCCTTCCTAATTGTGCCCATTTTATCCACAAACTTCCTAGCAAGGAATTCGTCAACCATGTCTCCGACACGAGGACGGTCTACCAACACTTCTGAATATAAAAGAGGAGTAGTTAATAATCGGGTGAATCCAATCTAATAATGGAAAGCACGAAAGGCCCGTTTTCAGACCGCAGAATGATATGACGTTTGTGAATACGAAGTAATTCGAAACACAATGGTTATTTTTTTTAAGTAAAGGTTAAGTAATCATGGAATCTAATTGAATAGTCTTTGACCATGAGTAATAGTATTAATTTATTTTACTATCCTGTACAAGACTGCTGATTGTTTATGGTGTCATGTATATGGTATTCGTCAAACGTAGATGTATATATAAAAGTAAAAAGCCAAATCAAAGCCAGATATCTCCAGCAGTGCGCAAGGTATCTGCAATTGCGCAAGACCGGATAATAAAAGAAAGTGGTGTCATTTTTTGACCGAATTTTTTAATTAAGTGATGCATGTAAAGAATGCGCAGGCACTTCGAACTGCCTGCGCACGCTTGACCCGCACAGAGTGCATGATCATGTATTTATTATGTGCTTTTGTACTTCCTCTCCTGCGTAGACCGAAAGGTCCGCAGTATTGTAAATAAATAAATAAATAAATAAAAGTTCGGAGCCTGCCTCGTTGGAGGCCGGAGCGGGAGTGTTTGCATGCAGTGGCGTTGCTATCGTCGGTGCTCGCTGGATGCATGAGTATTGAGAATGTGAAGAGAGCAAAAAGTATTCGTTTCGCTCTTGCGTGCCCGTGCTCGCCGGTTATCTTTCATAGCGCATATGCTCTACGACTCTACTATGGAATATCTCTTACTCCGCGAAAATCCAATGGCGTTGGTGCCGACATGTTTTGCATAGTTCGAATTGCTGTACGCAAGCATTCTCGAGGTTT